ATATATATATATATATATATATATATATATATATATAAAATTTTTTAAAATTAATGTCATGTTTTATGTTTCATCAGTTGTATTCTGAAGCTAGCTGCCTGCCTCCTCCCCACACACCTGTCTGTGTGTTTCTGTCCACCTGTCTCTCTCCTCATCCCTCTTTCTTTCTTTGACAGTCTCATTCTGTAGCCCAGGCTGGCCGGAAACTCTGGTGCATACATTCCTAGAAGTGAAATTGCTGCAATCAAAGGTGTGTCTCAACGTCACACACCTTTGTGTGTGTATCAACGTCATCCTGCAATGAGATGTCCACATAGTGAGTCAAACACAATGTTTAGTGTGACTAGGATGATCTTTCTGGTAGAAAGTAACTTTGGGCTCTGTAGTCCGAAGAGAAAGGCTGGATAGGAAAGAACCCCTTCTGCTTGGATGCTATTGGATTAAGACATCACGTTCTCCTAGTCTCTGACTCTGAGTATACATTGCTCTTCCTGAGTTTCCAGCACTTAGGGCAGAACTTTGCCATGGGCTGCCCTGTTTATCCATCCTTAGGATTCGTGGAACTGTACCATCTTCCTGGTTTTCTAGCTTGTTCACTGCAGCCCCTGGAACCCATTAGTATCCATAAACAAGTGAGCATAATCATTCATTCGTTCATTCATTCATTCATTCAATGCTATATTGATTCTAAGTCTCTGGAGAATCCCGACTTCATATAAAGTTACCAACAGTTTTGTAGCCTCTGAGACAGATCATAAATTGACCACCAAGAAAACTATACCAAAATACATTGATGACCATGTTAGAGTAGGACAGTCACCACCAAGTTGCCACTGAAATATATATATGTATGTGTATATATATGACTTATGAAGTATTTAAAAGTACATGAGAAATTATATGAATATATGAAATGTAAAAAAGTGTGAAATATATGAAAATATATAAATATAAAATGCATGTATTTCAACTTGCCCTCAAATTGACTGTGAAATTAAATACATGGTTTTTATTCATACTTTTTTGTTCTCCAGAAAAACTAGAATTTTAAAAATATGAGTATCTGGGGCTGGAAGGATGGCTCAGTTTTAAAAATACATACTGCTTGCTCTTGCAGAGGAATTAAGTTTTGTTCCCAGCAATCATTTTGAACAGTTCATAATTGTCTGTAACCCCAACTCCATGGGATCCAACATCCTCTTCTGGTTTCTGTGGGAACCTGCCTCATGTTCATGCCTTGTTGTACTGAATTTATTGCTTATGTTTTTCTGGCTGTCTTCAGACTTTCTGTTGGGTTGCTCTGACCTCACTCACAGATATCCAGACCTCCTACTTTCTTTTGTGAGAGTATATGGCTCTGAAGCACACTGACATGCACGATCGTGAAACATAGGTGCCGGGCTCGCCTCTGCCTTCACTTGCTGTACGGCCTAGCATCTGACATCTCCTTAGATGCAGCTTTCCCATCTGTCACTGGGAATGGAGTTGGCTTGACCTCCAAGCTTCGTCTCTGCTTTGGCATTCTGTGATGCTAGTGGAGAGCTGGAACCCTGTGGGGTTGGGACTCACTGACAGAACCGGTTACAACAGTCTCTTCAGTGGGATCCTTGCTTTGACTGCTCCTTGCCACAGGCTTTAACTGCTCCTGCTAGCTCCAGTCTTCCTAAGAGTAGTTCTGAGACCACACTGCTCGGGGTCTCTACAGTAACATACAACCCATTGGCACCATCTTGGTCTTCCTCCCGCTGTCCCCATCTTCTCACCCATCGTTCCTTGTGAACAGGAATTCTGTGGCTCACACTGTCATCTTTGCTGGGAATGTTTCCACACCGCAATGCCACAGGAGAAACCTTGCTTTTCTTCTAAACCTCAGCTAGTGCCATCTTTTCTGGAAAGTCTTTAGACATGCTTTCTGGTTTAGAGGCATGAAAAAAAAATTTTTAACTGATTCTTTGTGAGTTTCACATCATGCACCCCCATCCTGCTCTCTCTCTCTCTGTCCCCTTGTACTTCACCCTTGCAACCTATTCCTAAAACAAAACACACACACACAAACAACAGAAACAAAGCATAGAAAACAATTTCACCATGGAAGCTGTTGCACGTCCTAGTGTGACTCACAGTATATCCCTCGGTCCACGCATCTTCACTTACACTATGTCATTGGTCTGGTTTGAGATCTCTGGCTTCCATGACACCATCAGTATTGGCTCCTCATCTTCCTAGTTATTCTGTTATTGGCCTGTGTCATAGAATTCCCACAAGGTTGGACAGCAGGACTGGCCCTTTCACACATTCCAACCATTCCCAGATGATACAGATTTGGGATGGGTCAACTCAGAACCGTGGATCAGGGCCTGGATGGTAGGTGAGCTGACAAGCCTGTCAGCTCTTCTTTATCTGCACCACCAGGGTAAGCTCTCCAGTGCAGCTCAGGCTAGGCCATCCAACGCCATCAGCAGCAGGAGACAGTGTCAGCTCTCCCACTCTCCTGCCCTCAGGGCCAGCTCCACTGAGCTGCCCAGTCAAGGTACAGGGTCTGCCCAAGTGCAGCAGCCCATAACCGACTGGGCCAGCTCTCCTGTACTCACACCCTTGGAGCTGGCTCACTCATGCCTTTACCATCAGGACTAGCTCTACAGAGCTGTCTAGATGAGGTGCAAGGCCCACTCTCCCAAGTGCTGCAGCTGATGAATAGCAGTGCCAGTTCACCCACTCTCAAGACCCCCCCCAGGGCCAGTTCTCCCAACGACTGTAGGTGGTTAGGGGTGCAGAGCGGGTGAGGGGTCATCACTCCTTCACCCTGACACCTTACAACAAATGAGTCACAGGGCCAGCTATCCCTTGAGTAGTGGCTCACCTTCACCCCACCACCAGGGCCAACTCTACTGTGCTGCTCAGACAAGGTTCAGGGCCTGCCCTCCCTAGTGCTGCAGCCGTTGGGGTGCAGAGGCAGCCCTCCCGCTCTCATGACCCCAGGGCTATCTCTCCTAACTGGCACAGATGGTAATGGCCAAGGAGAAGAGAGAAGGATCACTCCCACACCCTCAGGGCTGGCCTACCCACACCCCTCCACCAGGGGTGGCAGGACAGCTCCACTGGGTTGTCCAGGTGAGGCTCAGGGCCTACTTTCCAGAGGGCTGTCACTGGTGACAGATGGGACCAGATCTCCAGAGTACCCTATCCAGTGAGGGGTGGGGTCAGTTATGAACATCCCCTGGATATCCATGTGCTTCCTAGCAGACTAGGGATGTTCTCTAGTGGTATATATGAGCCGTGGACATTGACACTGACCCTTGATGCTGTGTAGCCATGGACTCAGGCATGGCTTTTAGTGGTAGCTGGGGCTGGCCATCATGTTCCCAGGTGGCAGGGCTGGCCCCTCACAACAGGCCACTCCTCTCCACCCTCTAGTCTCCAGTTCCGTCTCTCTTCATGATGCTCAAGCTGCTCCACTTCTCTTTCTCTCTCATTTGAACATCACATACTCACATATTGTTCTGGCTCCCACTGAAGGCCGGCCATATGTCTGGTGGGTCCTGGGTGACATCTTCCATTCGTGTTGTGTGGCATAGTGGCAATCAGGTGTCTATGGCTTGCCCGTACTGTGTGCTGAAGGGAGGTCTGTAGGTAGCATGGCTATCCGCAGGTCTCTGTCTATCTTCCTCCTCCTGTGCTGTGCTGCCTGGATTTGATTAGATTTATCTTGATTCTTATGAGGCCTAGGCACAAGACAGCTTTGGCCACTAAGCCAGACATCAAGTTAGCATGAACAATAGATTGCCATCTGCTCTGCCCCTGACTAATATATGAACAATATCACCAACAAGGTGTCTCTTTGATCATTGCCAGGAGTACAGGTAGAGATATTTTTTCTTCTCTTTTGAACCACATTATTTTCACATGCTATAGGCATTTGTGGTGATTTGAATATGCTTGGCCCATAGGGAGTGGTACTGTTAGAAAGTGTGTCACTGTGTGGGTGGGCTTTGAAGGTCTCCTCCTATGCCCAGACTCTACCCATTGTGGAAGAGAGCTTCCTTTTAGCTGCCTGAGGATGTCAGTTTCCTCCTGACTGCCTTTGGATCAAGATGTACAACTCTCAACTCCTTCTCCACCACCATGTCTTCCTGGATGCTGCCATGCTTCCTGCCATGATGATAATGGACTAAACCTCTGAACCTGTAAGCCAGCCCTAATTAAATGTTGTCTTTTATAAGAATTGTCTTGGTCATGGTGTCTGTTCACAGCAATGGAAACCATAACCAAGACAGAAGTTAGCTTCTGGTATTCTGAATTTCTAAGAAAAGTCAGTAAGAACCCATGACAGCCCATAGTCTTTCTTTTTGTAGATGGCCTCTGAGGCTTGGCCACTGTCTTAGTTAGGGTTTTTATTGCTATGAAGAGACACCATAACCAAAGCAATCTCTCCTCTCTCTGTATTCCTAGTGAGTCCCTCCCCTTCCACTGCTTCTCCTAGTACTGTCTTAAGACCCTCCTTATGACCATGAAAAACTCATCCTCCCAGACCTGCCTTGTTCATGCAGACTCAAATCCTGTCTGTCTACTCTACCTTGTTCTGACACAGTCTCCCAGGGAACACCACTAAGCCAATCCTCTCAGTATCTGCTCTCAGCTTCTTAGCTCTTTCCCATGGCTGTTCATGCAAATTTCCTCAGGGGTTTAAAGACAGCGCAGAGCCAGGGTTCCTTGCCAGACCAATTATGTGCTTTAGGTTTCCCAGGTGTTTAATTTAGAGGCCAGTGGTGAACCACAGATGGACAGATGGACAGACAGACAGACAATCGGACCCTGACTGCTCCTGCCAAGTTCTCTTTCCTGGCAGCCCCATTACATGTTATGACTACACAGTGGGCTTGGATGTGGCATGGATCCCTCCTTGGTCCCCTGACTATTGATGCTTCTTTCTCGTTGTAGTGGCTGTAAAATCTTCTGGCTGTGAACTTTGTGCCATTGGAGTACACCTCCTATCTTTTTTCTTCATTACAGTCACCAGGAAGCTCAGATTATTTGATAATTTTGATACCTGGCTCATTGTCACCCTCTAGCATAGCATCTGCTTTGATTCTTGGTGTTTTCAACATCTACTCCTATAGGTGTCCCTTAAGGAACTCTGTCCTTTCCTGCTGTCACCAGTCTTCCACCACTTCTTGCTCTGGTGTCACCCTACCCAAAATCACAACTTTGAACCACTCACTGGGCTCCATTTCCCATCATCCCCAGCTCACGTCCTCTAAGCCCTAGACACAATCATCTAGACTCCTGGATCCTTCCCTCATCTCCCTGTCTCTCCTTCTTTCTTTACCTCTTCCCAGTCAACTTTCCTCAACCCCAATAACCCCCTTTAGTGTTCTTGCCTCTTTGGTGTCTTGAGGTGACAAGCACTCAGCTGAACTTTGACTTGGGTTGAGCAGTCTGTTTGCTTGTAACACCAGCCAATAAGCAGCTGAGCCTGGCTGGAGAGCCACACAGTCACAGTGATAGCCTTCCAGTGAACTCATCATCCAGAGCTGAATTTTCCACTGTGAACCTTCCATGCAGCTAGCCAAGTCTCCTGTCTTCTTATGCAGCAGCTCTTAAAGGCCGTTCCTTGACCAGTAACATGGATCTAACCTGGGATTTTGTAAGTGATCAGCATTCTCATGTCCCAGCTTGGCCCTCTTGAGTCTGGCACTCTTGCTTTGTCAGGCCTTCCAGGTGAGTCTGATACGTGAATTTGGAATGAAACCATTGTTCTAGTTTATCTTCTCTTTCTTTCTCTTAGGTGACTACTTCATTCTGTTTCCTCTCCACATAAATATGGAATACTTCCTTTTTCTATGTGAGAGCACGGAAGAGCAAGTGGAGTGTCTCCAAGCAACTCCCTTGTGCTTGTAAAATGAACTCTCTCTAACCTTCTCTGAGGGAGCGAGGACTCTCAAGATTCTTCTCTCTGGGAGTAACAGTTCTAAAGCTTTGTCCTCAAACACAGGCCTGGCAAGAGCTAAGTAGCCTGGGGTTAAGAGATTCATGACTCACCTCTGACTCCTGTTGGTACACCTATGACCATGCCCTCTACCTATCCTTTGTTAAGGGTGTTCTAGAGTCACAGCAAGATCTCCCAGTGAGCCTGCTCCACAGACATGCCAACTCAGACCTGCTTTTTAAACACCAAACTGACTTCACAAAACTGAAGGTAATCAAGTGAGAGCATCCTGCCTGCTGTTAGCCAAACAAAATAAAAATTTGCATCAGGGAAGGTAAAAGGAAAGAGGCCAACTGTGGCACCCCTCCCCCAATCCCTATTAGCATGGGAGGAGACACCCCCAGCTTGGACAAAGGAAAGGGAGTTATGCTCTGGACTTCCATTTTGAAAGCCAGTACTATGCCCACCATGGGGAAAACCACTTCTGGGCAAAGCTGTGGGAAGGACTTCAGCAGAGTCAATACCCACAATGAGCCACTGATACCAGTTTAGGCCAGATAACACAGTCACCACTCCCCTCTCACCAACATGAGGCTGCACAGGGTGCATTAGGGAGTCACCCATGGGGACTAGAGCATGAAAGCCAGCATAGATAGGCCCACCACAGTGAGACCCAGTGCCTTATAGAAACCAAAGCCCTGTGTACATCCCAGGCTTCATAATGGAACCCCTGGACCAGCTCAGCATCAGATGGAGATCTGTGTGAATTTCCAGCCTCGTTGTGGGTTTGGAGGCACTCATACTATGAGATTCAGGTTCTATCTTGCTTACTGACAGCCTTGGTGACCAAGGGACTCTCTCCACCACCCCTCCATCTTTTAACCCCAGGTTGCTTAGCTCTTGTTTGAGGACAAGGCTTTAGAGCTGTCACTCATACAGAGATGAATACTGCAAGCTCTCACTCACCCAGAGAAGATTAGGGTTCATTTTATAGGAGTTGAGTAGAATGGCAGCTTCCAGAAGCAAGTGGGGGGTTGTGTAGAGGGGCTGGGCAAAGTGTGAACAATGGCCAGAGAGTCGCAGTCAAGCAGGAAAAGGAAGCCACGGGGTTCTGCTGCATAGCAGGGCAACTGTAGATGACAATGTGCTATACATTTCATCAAAAAAAAGAAAGATTGGAGGTTGTTTGCTTTGGGGGATATGATCTCAAGAAGTCAAGGCTGACCTCCAACTCACTCTGTAGCTCAGGATGGCCTTAAATTCCTGATCCTATTACAGATGTGCACTGGCCTTGATCTGGCTTAACTTTTTCCCTTCTTTTTTTTTTTTTTAATCCTTTGTTTCTTTGAGACAAGATCTTGCTATGTAGCCTTTACTGACGTGGTCAGTACTCACTATGCAGCCCAGGCTGGCCTTGAACCCACAGTGAGCCTTTTGACTCAGCCTTCTACAGCGTTACAATTGCAGGCATGAAGCACCACAATGACAGGTTCTGAAGGCCTCTCAATCAAAGAATTTTTGAGGACACAGATTATTTTTAACATTGTTAAAACATATAACATGTATCTTTACCAGGCATTCCATAGTACCTGTTAATATGTCCAATTTAAATAGCTTTAGGTACTTTAAAGACCTGTCCAATTCAAAATCTGCATGGACTATCTAGAACTCCCAGGCAAGTCTCACCATTGTCTTCTTCAACAATGTCCATGTCTGTTACATATGGTCAGTTATTCGGTCCTCACAACTACCGTATTGCTAAGAGCATTACCATTTTCAAGATAAGAAAGCCAAGCTGGAATGGTGCCATGCTCTGCAATGCCAGCACTTGAGAGGTGGAGGCAGGAGGATCAGGGGTTCAAAGTCATCCCTAGCTATGTAGCAAGTTCTAGGCCAGCCTGTATATATGATGTTCTGTCTGAAAACAGACACACCACACAGACACACACACACACTGCATTTTAAATGCTTAAATGTGTAGTTCTGGGTCATTGATTACAATCACATTGTTGTAAAACTGTAAGCACTATTTTTAAATCTTTTCCTATATACAGAAAAGCCCAAGAAATCCACAGACAGCAACTGGAGCTAATATATAATTTATCAAAGTCACAGTCCAAATCAGATCCCTTCTCCACTCCTCCCTGTGACTACCTAAATCCTAAATCCAGCCATCTCCGTCTCTTGTTTGGATTATGACACCAACCGACTATATAATATCTATTGTCCTTGTTCATTTTACTCTATAAGCTAAGTCATCGGCATCTCTGTTCTACCCAGAACTCTGCAGTGATTCCCATCACTAAGCACAAGAGGCAAGTACCATCAAAGAAGGGCCTTCGTGACCTGGTGCTTGGAGCCTCTCCGATGTCTTTTGTCATCTCCATCACTAAGACTCCAAAATAATCAAAGAGATCTCTCACTGAGAATACTTGGGAACCTGAGAGAACAAGTGGGGTTACCAGGGAGCAGATTATGCCATTTGAGATTTGTAGAGAGTGTATGTGTGTGTTCATGAGTGTGTGTATGTGTAAAAGTTCGTGAATGTGTGTGTATGTGTGTGTTCATGAATGTGTAAGTGTGAGTGTATGGGTGTGAGGATGAGGTAGGTGTGTGTATGTTTGTGAATGTGTATGTCTTTGTGTGTATATGTGTGTTCATGAATGTGTGAGTGTATGTGTGTGAGGGTGAGATAGATATATGTCTCGTGTGTGTGTGTTCATGAATGTGTGTGTCTGTGTGTGTTCATGAATGTGTGTATCTTTGTGTGTATGTGTATGTTCATGAATGTATGAGTGAGAGTGTATATGTGTGAGAGTGAGGGCGCTATGTGTGTGTGTGTTCATCAGTGTGTGAATGTGTGTGTTCATGAATGTGTGTGTCAATGTCTGTGTGTTCATGAATGTGAGAGTGTGAATGTATATTATGTTC